TATGCTGAAGGTGGGGTCAAAGATGGAGGCTTCTTCTGTTGTAATATGCTGAAGGTGGGGTCAAAGGTGCAGGCTTATTCTGCTGTACCATGCTGAAAGTGGGGTCAAAGCTGGAGTCGTCTTCTGCTTTAACATGCTGAAGATGGGGTCAAAGGTGGAGGGTTCTGCTGCTGCACCATGTTGGAGGTGGGGTCAAAGCTGGAGTCATCTTCTGCTGTACCATGCTGAAGGTGGGGTCAAAGTTGGAGTCGTCTTCTGCTGCACCATGTTGGAGGTGGGGTCAAAGCAGGAGGCTTCTTATGCTGTACCGTGCTGAAGGTGGGATTAAAAATGTAGGTTTCTGCTGTACCGTGCGGAAGGTGGTGTCAATGGTGGGGTCTTCTTCTGCTGCACCATGCTGAAAGTAGAGTCAAAGATGGAGGCTTCTGCTGCTGCACCATGCTGAAAGTGGGGTCAAAGATGGAGGCTTCTTCTGCTGTACCATATTGAAGATGGGGTCAAAGCTGGAGGCTTCTGCTGCTGCACCATGCTGAAAGTGGGGTCAAAGCTGGAGTCATCTTCTGCTGTACCATGTTGGAGGTGGGGTCAAAGATGGAGGTTTCTGCTGCTGTATCGTGCTGAAGGTAGTCAACGCTTATCATGACCCACTTCCCACTTAAAGGGAATCTGGGCTGTGGTGGCAGCATAAAATGTACAATTTATAATAAAAAAATCCCCCATAATAATATCCAAAAATTTTATTCCAATAATTTCACCCTGTAGACTGACGTTCACTTTAGCAATATTTCATTTATTTAATTAAATTTCTCAAAACTGTTTTAAAGATAATTTTTTGCTTTGAGGTTGTTAAAGAATTGTAACAAAAACCAAAGCAAAATACTCTAGAAAATGTACATTTACAAATAAAATTAAAAAGAAAATGTAAAATTACCATCCTTTTATGGAGAATTTTATTCTCTTCATGTATATGGTTTATATTGAATACATGACAGCTGACATCTCACATATGTGTGAAAAAATATCATTGGGAACCTGATACCTCATGTGACTTCCTATGAGTGAGACCCTATGATATGATATATCACCTGACTTCCTGTCACCAAAACTATTTGGTTTCCTTGGTGTGATGAACATGATATACTTTTGTTGATTCCCAGTTAATTTTATCAACAGGTGAATGAGACAAAATATTTAGACATGGGCAGAAATAATTAACAGCTTGATAAAACACATATTTATAAACGCATAAAATGATACGTAACTGAATATTTGAAAGCAAATGCTATCATCAAAAACCAAACTTTTGTCAATACCATGAGTTAACATTTAATTTTTTATCATTTTGACAATTCTTCTCTTTTAATAAAAATTTGTGAAGAGCAGTTATACCGTAGCATCATCTATACAACAGGCTATAAAACACCACCAGCCACAATCCAGAAAGCACACAGAGATGTGTTTTACTGGATAGAAACATATATAATATAATATACTTTGCGTGCAAGGAGTTTTCCCCTCATCCCTGTCAAAAGAAACATAATCCTTAAACTTCACATTAGGATTCAAATTAAGGCTTCCATACTCTTTTTTTTCTAGACAACATTATTTGCTTTGTTTTTAAAACAAGTCTATTTAGTAACTGTTTTGACAGATTAGCTGGTTGGCATACTCTGGTCCTTTTCAGTTGCCTCTTCTGCTAGAAACAAAACAAAAGGGTTGATTCCACATACTTCTGGTTTGTTCCCCCAAACCAGTAATTGTGCACAGTTGCCCCAGAAACCCACAATAATAACACATTGATTAGTTTTTATATATATATATATATATATATGTATATATAAAATATCCCAGTAACACAAACAGAAGAAACATTATTGAAAACACTGGCATTTGGTCCCTTCACCCACCCACCACCCCTCACACACAATCACCCCCCTCCCAGATTGGCTGGTTACCCAGCAATAAGAATGGCAAACGGCTCATTTGCCGTGGTTTCTTTCAAGTTGAAAAGTATAGTTTTTTTTCTTTTTGATGTGCTGTTCTTTTTTGGATAGATGTGCTTCTGTATAACATATTAGTTCTTTTTACAGTAAACCAAGTTGAAAACAAAATAAAGAGTAATCTTGAGTTTTATTACTGTACAGAAGACGGCCTCTCCTTTTGGTGCTGAGACAGAGAAGCCTCAGACATAGTACTCCTTGTCCTTGTTCTTCTTGTTCTTGCTGGAGATCTTGATGCCACCTGGTGGTTTCTCCTTGACCACAGCACCATTGGGCTGCGTTGCAGAGTTGCTGATGTAGTTGCGGCTCTCATCCACATGGTAGGAGCCCTCGTCGCGGTTGCGGTATTTGTACATGGCGTAGAGCAGGATGAGGATGCAGAGCGCCGCGGCGGCCACGATGCCCACCACCATGCCTGTGGTGCTGCTGGACTCCCGGATCACTTCAGAGGGGCCTGGGTATCCCTTTGCTCCCGGAACAGTGGGGTTTGCTGTAAATGAGGACATCACAGATGGATTTAAAAAGATCATATCGCTGTCTGTATGGCAAATGATAACCTTAAAATGCAGAATTCAGTCTAAGGGCTATTTTAGCCTTTAAGTTAACAACTCTAGTCAGTCAAAATAACATGCTGTTATATTCAATATGTCTTGAAACAAACTATTGTATTATAGAATTGCTATATAAAATAAGGTTATATTATTAGCATTATATGCTGCAAAATAATAGATCTGTAATTGAATTATATAGCATTTCATAATTGTATATCCTAACATAGAACATATGTTACTTGCACGAAAGTAACAACAGCACATCTACTGGACACTTTTTGTCATTATTCTTAATTTACCAAACAGAATCCTACAAATGGTTTCAGGTGTGCGATAACACTGCAGACACACAAGGCACAGCTTGGTGGTAGCATAAGAACGTAAGACAGTACATCCCTAACCCTAACCCTGATTTATGTTATCAAGACACTGCATGTAAGACCTGCAGTCCATCACTGCTCTGGCTGATTGACAAGGGCTGCACATCTTCAGCAGACTAGGTAGCTGCTACCTGCCAATGTTTGTGCATTCATGTGATCAAACAGGCTGGAACCAACCGGGCCCTTAATTCCACCCACCTGGAGGGCACTAATTACCCCAGATGGTTCCATTCAGGCTCCATCTGATAAAGTAAAAGATTACCATCTAAACCCTAGCCAAAGACACTGATTCTTGAACAGGGCACCCCACTGCTGACTGCTTTAGCTGATTTCAACCTCTGAACTGGTAGAGATAGAGAGTGACTGGTGGGCTCACTGGCTGAAAGGTTCAAATATTTTAATTCCTTTCACACGATACTGGTCTACTATAGGACCATTAAAGCTCTTGTTTCAAAGTACACGTACTATTATGTGCTAATTTAAAGGGCTCACCTTAAGATAGACATTATGTTTGCAGTTCGAATCCTTTTTAAAAATGCATTTTAAACTAAAGGTGCCCTTTTTATTATGATTGTGACTGATGGATGTACTACATGTATTGTGACTAATCTAACCCACCTGAACTTGGCTCACAAGGGTCAATGTCCTCATCATCACTGGGACATTCAGCTGATGCCACCAGCAGATCATCTGTTGGCTGTAGGGAGATAAGGGCAGGAATGGAGAATAAACACAGCTGTGAGCCGAAGACCCATAACAAGACATGTTACACAGACCCACTACTGCAGTCAAGACATGGCAACATCACAAGAAGAGAAATACAATAGCATTATAACAGAGGAAGACCAGTATCAGAACTGAAATCAAAATCAGGCATTTTTAAATGGCACAGTCATTTTGTACAAACCTGGCAAAGACAAGGTACAGACTGGACTTGAGAAGGACGAAAGAAGTAATCCATTTGAGGTCAACAGTAGACTAGTAAAAATTTCATAAAGCTGCTCACAAACACATATACTACATATTATCATCCTGTAATGCTGGTTTCATACACCTATATTAACATCTTGTAAAGCTGATCACGAACACCTATATTTTCATCTTGTAAAGCTGATCATAAACACCTTTCATCTTGTAAAGCAGGTTTTAAACACCTATAATAACACATCTCCAGCACATTAAACATTTTGATGACTGGCATATACAAGTATAACTACAGTCTCTTGAATAGGACTCATACCAAAAAGCTCACTCAGATTGCTAGTTTAACATCTAATATATTTTAATTGCATATACAATTGTCAGGATCAGTGCCCATCTAACCCTGTCCTACGTGTCTTGTCCCCATTTGGCCAGCAAGTGTCGCTTGCTATCCTGTTCCCTCCTCTGTTTTGTAGCCCTTCAGTTCCTAGTGTGTTTCCCTACTCCCCGGGCCCCTGTGTAGCTTAATGGGCTGAGTGGTCAGCCATCATTCTGACTCCATTTTGTTGTGAGCTCGAGGCTCATCAGAGGCCAGCCACAACTAGTTTTGTTTCCTGTGTCTAATATTTGTTTTGTTCTATTGGTTTATTATGGGTATGTATTCCACTTACTCTCCCTTGTGTTTGTTTCCTGTTTTCTGGTTGTATTATGTTCAGTTTTCCTTGTTTTAGTTTCCCTTGCTGTTTTTACCTGCTGTATCAAATAATTGACTTCACCTGCTCCTTGTTGTCCTTAGTTCCTTATGGCCCACTCCTGCCCCTTGTTAGTCCTAGTTATCTGTGTATTTAAGTACATGCCTTTCTTTGATTTTCTCAGTCAATCATTGTAGTTGTTACTGTGTATTTGTAGCTGTGGTTGTTTCCCAGTCTTGCTCTCAGTTTTTGCTCAGTTCCCTAGTGCATTACTTTGTGGTTCTTTTAGTTATTTCTTATTTTTCCTGTTTTGTTCTTGATCCCTTGTGGACACTTTATTTTATGGTTTTCCCCTTTTGTGTTCTGTTTTGGTTAATAAACCCTGTTTTTTTGTGAGCCACTGCATGCATCATCCCTCTTTCCCCTCCTTTGCCATGCCCTGCCATAACAACAATATTGCCAAATGTTTACAATATGTTTGCTGTTATTATTGGTGAAGTGCATGAAATTTGACAGGAAACATTTTTGCAATACAACATTCTGCAAGTGTTGTAAACTGGTCATTATGGGCAGCATATGTGCGATATCCTTGGCTGCGCGCTGAAGGTCCGACCATCGGGATTACATGCCACAGGTATAAGTTATGGCTCACATCAAAGTTCATGAAACTCTATTTTGAGTAAAACAGCTAATCTGATCTACCATTTCCGTAGGCATCAGTGTTTCAGAAGTGAATCTGAAGTGAGAAATCACTCTTATAACACACCTTCCACAATCCTCAAACAGATTCAAAGCTGATGTTCTTCCCAAAAGTGTCAGCTCATGTTTCCAGGTGGCTGATACAGTCTTTGTGTTATAAAGGCCATCAGATCTAAAATGCTACCAGAGACCCTGGATGCTGTTCGGCCTGCCCATTTTCTGCAACTCCACCTATTGGCCAGGAAACTGCCCACAAATCATGACACCACACACTGTCCCCAGCACCTCCCACGCATCATTTCACACCTTCCAAGATATGTGATCAAGTAAAAGTAAAGTGGGAGAGAACAGAAGGGAATCATGATGGAAAGTGTAGAACTGTGAAAAGAGAAAGATGGAGAAAGATGAAGAGAATTACACAAATGAAGGCAAGGAGAGACACTGGCCACCTCTGTTTTAGGAGCACTGTACAAAAAAGCACACGAAACGTGAACTTGGGCCAGTTTCTGAGGTTACCTAATGGTAACCAGGATCTTACACTATTCAGGAACATACAAAGTGTCATTCCCGGCATTCTCTCTGTTCAGCCACGTTATCACCCCACCATATCTGTAAAAGCCTTGGAATAAGCTTGTCAAGCTTCTGAGTATTTGATCTAAGCCTCTGCAAGTAGGACACTGCGGGTGAATAATTCAAGCCTTCCGGAAAGCCTCCTCAGAACACTGCCGGCTCAGAACACCTGGGACGGAATGCAGTGGAATGCAGCTGCCAGTGTTCCAGTTCTGAGTTTGATTTCAAATTGCAAATGGCTCCATTAAAAAGCTATGCTGCCTTGATTACTTTTATTGCAATGAACATTCAGGCTGTGGTCATAAGCTAGACATTGGCTTGTCGGGACTACCCAGTTCTAGGTTACTGATTGCAATTCAAACCCATATGGATTATAATGCTCCAATAAGGTGAATACGAGAAAGAAACCCAACCATAAGAAGCATTCTTCAAGAAAGAAAAAACACAATTTATTTTTTTATTATTCCCAGTAGGTTACAGGAAGATAGTGATACAGCCAATGTGCCACTATACACACTCCTCTCTGTCCATATTATGTATGTGTTCATGTGGTTCAGGCTTTTCGGTGTATAAATGTTGAGCTTGCAGCAGATACATTATGTATACTGAGTTCCAAACTGACTCTGATCCAAAAAGGTCTTGCATCAAAAATGCTTTTTCAACTACGTCATGTAGGATAGTCAGTATATAAATTTTTTATTGAAGGAAGCTCAGTGATAGCAGAATGGTTAATGATTTACATGTTTTACTGGGAACGAAGCCAGCTTCCTCCCTTTCATCATCACTTAGTGCTGGTGGGTAGAAGCTGACTGTTTAATTTATGGAGCACAGTGACTAGGGGAGGGTGGATGGAAGGGCCACCTATGGGGAGGTGAGTGGTGGAGGTGTGCATCATGCCTGAAGCTGCCTGAGAACTCCTCTAGTGCTTAGCCACTGTGCATCTCTCATTGGACCTGCTGGGCTCAGACACAGTTGTTAAGATTCTACATGTCCGTAGTGACCCATGATGAGGAAGCCTCCCCTGGTTTACGCTCAGCTGCTGGCTGACATTCGGCGGGGAGCCTGCACAAGATGTAACTAGGCACATAGTCAGCTTATAAAATTACTAGTTTAAACTCCCCTCAAAATCTGCTTCAGCCCCCTGGTGAGCAAAATCTATGAAACAGGACCCATTGATCGGTGAAATCTATCAACTCAATGTAGGGTAGAGTCACCAGACCCCCCAAGGAATTTATTTTTGGTCACAGGCTGAGGTACACATACACAATCATCCATAACATTAAAACCACTGACAGGTGAGGCAAATATCATCGAATATCATTAAGGGTGCCATTATATATTAGGCTAGGGAATGGTCAGTTTTTAAATTTTATGTGTGGTAAGCAGGAAAAATGGGCTAGCGTAAGGATATGAGCAACTGTGACAAGGGCCAAATCGTGATGCCTAGATAAGTGGGTCAGAGCATCTCCATCCAAGGAAGGCCAACTGGCAAACTGGCAACAGGGTAATGGGTACTCAGTGCTCATTGATGTGCATGGGGAGCAAACGGTAGCCTGTCTGGTCAGATCCCACAGGAGAGCTACTGTAGCAGAAATTGCTGAAAAAAAATTATGTTGACTATGATAGAAAGGTATCAGAGCATACAGTGCAGTTCACTGCGTATAGTCACAGACTGGTCAAAGTGCCCATGCTGAGCCCTGCCCACCACCAAAAGCCTATAATGGACATGTGAGCGTCAGAACTGGACCATGGAGCAATGGAAGAAGGTAGCCTCGTCTGATAAGTCACATTTTCTGCCACATGATATGGACGGCATGTGTGTCTTTTACTGGAATAGAGATGGCACCATGATGCACTATGGGAAGATGGCAAGTCGGTAGAGGTAGTGTGATGCTCTGGGCAATGTTCTGTTGGGAAACCTTGGGTACTGGCATTCATGTGGATGTTTTGACTTGTACCTCCTATCTAAACATTGCTGTAGACCAAGTACACCCATTCAAGGCAATGGTATTTCTCAATGGCAGTGGCCTCCTTCAGCAGGATAATGTACCCTGTCACACTGCAAAAATTGTTCAGGAATGAAAAACAGGTCATGGTGTTGACTTGGCCTTAAATTCCCCAGATCTCAATCCGATCGAGCATCTGCAGAATCTGTTGGACAAACAAATCTGATCCTTTGAGGCCCCACCTCACAACTTGCCCCACACACAGGATGTCATGCATGTTCTTGCGCAGCGTTTGTGAAATGACAGGGACTTTATTACAGGAGCAAACACTCGAACAGAAACATGAACCAAAGGACCACGAGGAGTGAAAACGGGAGGCAGAGTGGACAAGGCAGGAGGGATAAGGACTAACTGAGACAGTGGGAAGATTAAGGGCTAAACACCTACACTGAAGACTGACATAGCTCACAAGAGGGTACTGGCATGCAGCTCAAATAATGGCTGACTCAGGATCATGGTGAAGGTAGCTACTTATTTAGCAAGGGAAGACAATGAGGGTAAACTAGAAGTAGGTATGGGTCACTGACAAAACACTGAACACTAGGAACCATACAAAACAAAAAGCAGGTAAGGATAATGGGAGTCAGAGAGAAGGAAACAGGAAGGCCAAATGGGAAAACAATAGGGCTGATGAAGATAGATCATCACACAGGATTTAAATGATCTGCTGCTAATGTATTGGTGCCAGATACCATGGGACACCTTCAGAGGTCTAGTTGAGTCCATGCCTCGATGGGTCAGAGCTGTTTTGGTGGGTGACAATAGTGTTCATGTTATGGCTGATCTGTGTACATACCCCGATGCATCTT